AAAAAAAAAAAATTATTATAATATATTTGAAACCTCTCTTGTAAACATTACAGTGTCAGAACAAATTTACGATTCCAGCTTTATAATTTGAACATGACATAAACATTCGAAGAGATAACTTAACAGAAGAACCATCAGTTATTCATCTCTTATCATACGAACAACTTTCGCAGATTTACAGACGTATAAAGTTACCAGGTGAAAACTCAAATGATTTTTGATACTTTTGGTTTACCGATATCTCAAGTTCGAGAACATAAGTTATGAGTTACTTCAGGGATTCAAGATAAAATTTAGTATCTAAAAGACAAAAAAGTGTTTTTCGGAATGAAGTATAAATATTTTCTTTCGCAACATAAACTATTTGGGGTTTTTACTCAACACTGTACTGAATGTATTTTGAAAGAAACCAAACATATTTACCTGTTTCTATTTCCCTATATGGTTAACTCAGTTGCACTTGATCAAATTGTTTTGTTTCGACTGCTGAATACAAACGCCGAGAGTCGCTGGTCCGGAAATGTGGTCGGACTGAAATGTGTGCTAAAAAATATGTTTTATATGCATATATTGCAATGTCAATAAAAATTAATTATTCGGCCTAGTTGTTCCTAATATTATTTTAAAATATGCAGATAAAATATACAAATTATATATGAGTACGGTGCGGTGCCTGTGTAATAATAAGCAGCCGGAGAGTGGCAGCGAAAAATAAAGTTTTTTTTTTTAAATACAAACCCCCCTTTTCGATTATTATTTATTTACCAGAAAATGTTTTGAAAATGTTGATTTATCAGTATCGAAATCGAAACAAGTAGTTTCTGAGTTAATTTAACTTTCTGAACTATGGGTTTCATTGATTCACGATAAAGGGATTGGAAGGTGTGAGGTTTCGGTTAATTTCAAAAAAGTCTACTAACGCTGAACATTTCAGTATGTTTATACATATTACCATCTAGGATTCTATTGGACTTAGAACATCGTTCTAATTTTTCAAGCTTTCAGGTTAAGGTATAATTTGGTGCCGGATAATTAAAACATTAAATTTTGAGTGTATACGTATTAGCCTTTAGTTTGTGATTCATTTTTTCCAAGTTAGGTCCATAGTAACATGTGATATTGTAATAAATTGATATGAGTTCATCTAGAGACATGACTAACCGATTGTACCCTTTTCGTTTATTTAGGCGTCAATATCAATGGTTACAACTATGTGGGAATTATATTTATTATAATATATTTGAAACCTCTATTGTAAACTCTTAAATTATTACAGTGTCAGAACAATTTTACGATTCCAGATTTATAATTTGAACATATTAACATTGGAAGAGATAACTTAATAGAAGAACCATCAGCTACTCATATCTTATCATAAGAACAACATTCTCAGATTTACAGACGAACAAAGTTACCAGGTGAACACCCAAATGATTTTTGAAACATATGGTTACTGCAGGGATTCAAGATAAAATTGTAATCGAAAAGGCAGAAAAGTGCTTTTCGTACAGCAGTATAAACGGTTTTCTTCGTACCATAAACTATTTGGGAATATAACTCAACACTCTACTGAACGAATTTTGAAAGAAACAAAATATTATTTACATATAACTATTTCCCCATATGGTTAACTCAGTTGCACTTGATCCAACTGTTTTGTTTCGACTGCTGAACACGAACACCGAGAGTCGCTGGTCCGGAAATGTGGTCGTACTGAAATGTGTGTTAAAAAACGTGTTTTATATGTATAGATTGCAATGTTAATATAAATTAATATTTCGGCCTAGTTTTTCCTAATATTATTTTAAAATTCGCAGATAAAATATACAAATTACATATGAGTACGGTGCGGTGCCTTTGCAATAATAAGCAGCTGGAGAGTGGCAGCGAAAAATAAAATTTTTTTGTTCTTGGATAGAAAAAAAAAAGAAAGGTAAAGACACCGTTATATGGAGAGAGAGAGAAGTAAATATGAAATAACCATACATATTATTGTAACAATATATGATAATGTATAAATTCATGATTTACTGAATAGCCGAAAAAGGAATACTATTTACCAAAAGTTTAGAAGGTTCAGAGTAACTTTAATTTTAACTTGTGAAATGATAATTATAATCAATAGAAATGTAAACATAATTAAAATTGATTAATTTTGTTTATTTTGGATTTATTATTTAAATGTGTAAAAAAGGGTTGATGAAGGTATTTTGTCGGCTTGCTTTTGACGTATGGACCTCTGGTAATTTGAGTATGATACCACTTCATTAATGGTATATTACCGACATTATTAAATTATAAATTTTAATTTTAATAATTTAAATTATAAATTATTGTTTATTTGCCAAAGGATCGATATTTAAATAAAGCATTATTTGTTATAATGTTATATACAGGAGCATTATAATTTATCATCTAAACCTATTAGTTTAAAAAATTGAACTATTGACAATGTTGGTATTTTAATGATCCAGCTTACATTAGTTCCAGGAAAGCTGAGTGCTTTCGATGTCGCGATTTGACATTTTATTTTTGAACTAAAATTTATTAATTATATAATTATATTAATCTCGTGTCAATGTTTCTAGTTTTTTACTTTCATATTTCTCTCGCAACGAAATTCCATTTGTCTAGTTTTCAGAACTACTCAAATAATAAATTTAGTTATTATCTTAGCTTTATCCTAGGTTATTAACATTCTAGCCCGTCTAATTGAATAATCTCATGCGAAGTTCCCTTGCCTACTTCAAGTATACAGGTATTTTACAGGACGTCAGTACATAGCAGTTCTTCGAGTGTTGTGGCTTTTTGAGGAGGTGTCGATCAGATGCGAATTTGGGACAGTTGATGATTATGTGTTCGATATTAAGGGGAGTGTTGCATGGGTCGCACATTGGCCTAGGTTTTAAGTGATTAAGAAGAGTGGGTAAAATTATAGTGGCCTATTCTAGCTCTGTTGATTATTATGTGTTCTCTCCTAGATGCTTTTCAGGGTATGTCCATTTTGCAACTGTTTTTTGACGTTCCTTAGTTTGTTACTGGTTGGAATGTCCTTCCAGTGGTTTCGACATGACGTGAAGATACATTTGTGAGCTTCATATATCAGGTCTTTCTTGATTATTAAAGTTATGGAGGAGGTAGATAAAAAAGTGACCGCTTCATACGCCAACATACTATTAAAGGTTTATATATCGAATAACCTACTCCGTAAAAATACAATTCAGATCGACAGCCCTGTGTAGACCGATATTTATTTAAGTGCATAATTGAACAGAAAGAACCAACTGCTGAAATAGAATATATTCCAATTGTGTACTTATTGCCTAAAATGAATCATTTTGGAATTCTATTACAGCTCGTGCGACTAAAATCCATTGAATTGTTTTATTTGAATTTAGTAGATAAAACTGCTTCCCTGACCGTTTTAAGTTGATTAGTTTTGTTGAAACCGACAACGTCGTCGTCATTGTATTAATATTATTTGTAATTCATACAGTAAATAGGATGATACACCAACCACGATCTCCCCAGTTGTTTCCTTTAATAATGGAATTATTCAAATACTGCTATTTTGAATATTTAAAACATTTTTTTTTTAAATACAAGAACACTTATGTAGTACTAAAGCAGATTCCTGTGATGATTCAAGTTATTTAAGTTGGTAAACAGTGGGTTTTATGGATTCACGATAAAGGGTTTGGAAGATATGAGGTTTAGTGGTAATTGAAAAAATGTTGGTGACAAATAATAATTTTGCAATATTAATAATTGTTAAAAACAGTCCAAGTGTAAATAATACTACTATTTGTTTTATATTTATGTATAGCAATTTCTAAAAAAACTATTATCCCAGATTTAATATTCTGAGATAACTGAGTAACGACTACTTTGCATTTCAAATTGAATACGTCATCAATATTTTCAAAAAACTACAATTAAAAGAAAACATTTACTCCGATAGTACGAATAGTTTCCGGTAGTTACAAATATACAAGAATCAAAAATATTATTGTAAAATATGTATTTTAAAGGGAAAAAACCCTATTTAAACAGTTCTATTTCCCAATATGGTTTACTCAGTTGCACTGTAACCACCTGTTGCTTTTCGATATTACTGAAGTACGCTGAAAATCGTCGTTCAACTACGTTTAATATTACATTAACTTTACATCATTCAACGTCGTCATAATTTCTAATTTTTTTTTTCGTAATTTCAAATATGGTAAAACATATTATTATGTTAGCTTTATTTATTATGTTTTATATTATTGGAAATGCAATGGCACTTACGCCAGCGGAACGTAAAGCACGTGAGTATATTGCTTTTTTTTATTAAATATTATCAGGAATCACTTTTTAATTTTAGTGGAGAAACCAATTTATGAAACAAATAATTACAATTAAAATTCATGCAATTAGTGTTAGTTTAATGAAATTATAATCATTAAATTGAAATTCAATATAATGGAGTCTATCACACAGTTTGTCAGTAGAGGATTAAACCATTGCGATATCTACTGAAATAATGGAGATATTTTAATTCTGGGTTTTTATTAAGACACACACGAACAAGCACTACACATAATTATGTTTTGGTAAAAAAAGTTAAAAAATATATTTTTCGAATTAATTAAAAAAAATTAGGGTAATAATTTTGTAGAGTTAATTTTTCTAAATGACGTGTTGACGTTTCAACTTTTTAATTTCATTAATCCATTGACTTTTAATAATTTTTCTAGTTTTGAAAAAAACTGCAAATTATTTAACAAGGTGTAAAAAATTTGTTTTCATCAATTATTAATAGAATAATTGTTAATTGACAATAATTTGTTGATTGATAAGATCAATAAGTTCATCATATCTTTCCAGAAAACAATACAAAATTATATCAAACTTTAAATTATGAAGGACCACGCTCTAGATATATTCGAAGACCACGTTATGGACTATGACCATAATCAATGATGAGACTATGTTAAAATTGTCATCCCAAATAATTCTCATAACTAGAAAATAATTATTAAAAATCGTTAGATTAATAAAATTGGCAGAATTATGATATATCCATTATTTCAGGAGATATCTCAATGATTAAATCTTCACGGGATACTCTGTATATTTCTAACCTATATTATGGTTATTTTTTCTGTCTATTTCCAACATTCTTATACAATAAAATTAATTTTTCAGAATTTGAAAATGTGGTTGTCTGCTATAGTGAGTAATATCATTCTAATTAATCGATTGCAACGCATTGTTCATATAAATGCAACGAGCTTCACTCAATGTGATCACTTTCCTAACTAATGACTGAAGAGCAAATTAACTTATCATTAAACTTAATGAACTTTCAACTCAAATCGAAATTAATTTTAAAAAAACCAATAGTAATCGAACATTTATTATTCCTCTAAAGTATAAATACCTCAAAGTCAAAATAATAATTGTGAAAATATTTTGAATATGATACTACAAACGTAAACAGAGAAAATATCGTGTATCTACAGGATATAAATATATCTGTGGTAATTTTTTTTAGAATTACACTATAAACCAAAATCAACTATTTTTAAAACTAGTTTTCCATAATTATTTTTTTGATTTTCTTGCTCATGATTGGTTAGGTTTCTAATCAATAGAAGCAAAGCTTTTATCAGGAGTAGGGAGCCTATTATATATATGTTCTGATCTAAACAAGAAAAGTGGTTAAAAAAATGTTAAATGCACAATGCGTTATTACGTTCTATTACTCATATTCAAACAAATTACATTGACCTCTTGGAGTTTTCCGGTTGGTTATCATATGGTCGTTCTTGTGGTTTAAAACCTCACCGATGACGTGTATTTCTGCCCGTGGTGATGTGGGTCTCGCTCATAAAATGGTTAAAGTAATGCATTTACTATTTTCCTACCTTGCGAAAATTCTTATTAAAAAAATTTCCCTGTGCCACGATCAATAGATGACATCGCTCCACTCAGAACCTAAAACTAACACAATTAGGATGATAATAACAACACTGACTTAAGAAGGCGTACAGTGAACTTCTGATAAAATAAAAAATACATTAATATTAACGGAACAATCACATTGTGACTTCAAACCGTATAGAAAAGAATGGTACGTGACATTAAAATTGTTAAATGTACAATGCGGAAATTGCTAGTTGATATTTTTTGTATACCCATAACGGAAGAAGCTCGCAGTGATCAATTCACTCACCTTCAATCCAATTCCATTGACCTTTGCGAGTTTTCAGGTTGGTTATCACATGGTCGTTCTGGCGCCTTAAAACCTCACCGTCGACGGGTATTTCAGCCCGTATTGATGTGGGCCGCGCTCATTAAATGTATTCTTTCCGGTTATGGAGATCATAAAAATTACTGCTATGTGTTGTGTATAAATACAAAGAAATAATATACTCAACAATATTATTTCTGATAATCAAATTAATATTAACTATCGGTATACATTTTTTGGCCCGCATTTGATAAAATTGTGACAGTTCGATCGTTTTCCAATCCAAAAGACTGTTTAATCGAACTACTCCCGTGGCCGACCGCCGCCTTTGAGTAATGTCGCCAACCACGAGCCTATACCTTGATAGGTCGGAGCACCGTGGATTTGGTTGTTCGTTATAATAAATGCATACATCAGGAAGATATAATTACAAGGGTAATATTAATAATAATTATAATTATAACTCAAGACACAGAAATTATATGGGAAAACTAACATATATTGTGAAGTCGGTGCCGAGAAAGCTCAAGTGAGCGTAAAACCCGTACATAATAAAATAATTTACCCCACGAGCAAATGACGAGACACAACAGATACTTATATTATAATAATAAACCATGCTTAGACCCCAATGTCTCCACTAGACTGTTACCGGTCAACATGGCAAAATAATATACATACAATGATAATAATAATAAGGAATACAAATGTTTACCAGCCAGATAAGTGCAGTTTTATGTTATCAATACACTCATAAAGTCAAAGGGATCAGACACCCGTCGGTGTCTGATCATCCTTTTTGGGTATCATCCGTCTTTCGGCGGACATCTAACTAGTTACACAAAACATTTTTCAAATGGTTCTACGTTCATAAGAATATTCATGATAATAAGGAAAACATTGACTTGAATTATTACATGCTGTCGTCCATCACCTTTGTACATTCAGCAACTGCATATGGGATTCACACAAGTGTCTAACTACATCAAGTCAGACTAAATTAATTATTTAAGTATTTTGTTTGTATGTGTTATTGATTAGGTTGCAATATAAAAACAATAATTCCCTGAGATTTATATGTACTAAAGCTAATATTTTTTTAGATCGAGACATTTCCACAAAGGACAATGATGTGGATATGAGATATATAATGAACATAGTAGGTAAGAATATGTGAACATTGCAAATTATTTATAGCGTAATATTTAAACATTTTGCATATTATTTTTAGTTAATCAAATACGTTCCAGTTAGTTCTAAATAATAAATATGTTTAAATATGTATTAATGTATGTTCATAAATATCGGCTATCACGATTTAGGAATTATTATAAAATTTGATTATGTATGGTGCGTGTTTACTAAAATAACCTGGGTATGTAACGTGAAAAAAATGAACAACATTTTTGATAATCGTATTAATCAGTATTTTTTGATAGAATTATAATTTATTATAAACACTTATGAATTGGAAGTGCGGGAGGTGCAAAAGTATTCGGGAGTCTCAATTAAATGAATGAAGTTCAGTATTGGAGTCCGGGCCTTTACGCACATGTCGCTTACTTGATCGCCTTAGAATCTAAGGCTTAGATTGACTACCGAATCTCCTTGTTGCTCGTGCCCCAGGACTTTAAGACATTTAGGCCTCCAGCTTAATCCAACCCGTTTATGACTTATCAGTCATCACTGCCTGAAACAACACATCTGTTAGTTATGAGCTGTGATATTTCGTCTCCATTATTCGATTCATGAATGATTATAATCACATTTTGAGTAGAAAATATTTGAAAATTATACATGTTATTATGTTCTTATCATCCTGCATTATACATATAGAGGTACATAATTCGAAATTAAATGATATAAAATGAGTTGTATTCTTGCTGTATTTCTTAGTAATATAACAATCACACGTGGGTACAAACAGTTATACTAACAGGATAGAGGCATAAAGCACAAAGCATATTTGCAAATTTCTTTTTGACCGCAAATTGTTCTGACTGTATCAAAAGGACGAGACGGTTCCCAGCTGTTTACTTCCTCTAACTTACTTAGCCTGTTCATTTTTCGACCCTAGTCGTGATCTTCTTTTTTTCGGCGTTACGCTATTTGAGCAAAACAAAAAATTTTATATTAAGCATATACATTAAGTTAAGCAAATAAAAATTTCTATCTAAATTATTAAGGGTAATAGT